ATTTGGGAATGAGGGTTTAGGCTTAGGGTTTAGGGTTTAGGGTTCAGGGTTTAGGGTTTAGGGTTGAGGGTTTAGGGTTTAGGGTTGAGGGTTGAGGTTTTAGGGTTGAGGGTTTGGGGTTTAGGGTTGAGGGCTTAGGGTTTAGGGAGTGACATCTGGTTTACTGTACGGGTACCGTTCTCACTTCTGCTGGAAACGCCGCTCTTACTACGATTACCACTGCTTGCACTGGCCCTTCTCTACAAATTATTACCAATGTCGCTGCTGATGGGACTGCTGCCGCAGCTACTGCTGCTGCCACCTGCTACTACTACTAATGCTGCGAATGCGACTGCGACCGCTACTGCTTACTGCTGCTCCTGCTAATGCTCGTGGTACTGCACTGCTCCTGGTTCTGCAACTGCAGCTGCAACTGCAGCTGCTACTGCTACTGCCACTGCCACTGCCCCTGCCACTGCCACTGCCACTGCTACTGCCAGTGCTACTGCTCCTGCTCCTGTTGATGCTGCTGCTGCTGCTGCTGCTGCTGCTACTGCTACTGCTACTGCTACCGCTACTACTACTCCTCCTCCTACTACTACTACTACTGCTGCTGCTGCCGCTGCTGCTGCTACCACGACGGTCTGAAACCAACACTCTCGTCCGAGATAGGAGACCACAGGTTTCGGGCTAAGTCCATAAGTCCTGAACCTCATGAACCTTAAACTCTAAACCGTAGAAACCTTGTGGCGCGGGCATGCGACCAGGTCTTTTCACGGCATTCGCTCTTTTGTCGGACTGTGCCACTGCACCTTGACCTCTGCGTTTGAGTTTTAGGCTCTGTGCATCCTAAAACTCTAAACCTTTGAGAACCCCGAGCCCTGTAAGAACCTCACAAGAGTCCCCTTACGAACCCTATAAGAATCCTAAATCATAAAGCCCTTAGCGCTCAAAGCTCTGAAACCAGAGAGCAGTATCCCAGAAACCCGAATGCCCCAAACGCTAATCCCTACCTGTAGCCGAAAAGACCTACCTTTTTAAGGAACTATATATATATATATATATAGATTTATATATATATATATATATTTATATATATATAGAAACCATAAGGAACCCTAAAAAGGTAGGTCTTTCCGGCTACAGGTATGGGAACCCTTTCAGGAAGCCTGTCTACAACCCCGAACCCCTGCAGGCCGTCTCATGGCCGCTCTGCCGCGGAGGTCCTGGCAGCTGTTCAGGTGCCGCGATTTGTGGAATCTTTGTTAGGAGAAAAGACAGTGCTTTAAAAAATAGAAAAGGGTTTTGGGGCCATTATACTAAAGTTACATGAAGGAACCACCAACATAGTACTGGTAATTTGGGCCCCTACTTGAAGTCTCATGGGACTTAGTAAGTAGGGTTATAAGTAGGATAGAATTAGGATAACCTCACTTAGGAGACTTGTAACCCCAATTATAACCTACTTACTAAGTCCCATGATCCTCTAAGTAGAGTATGTTCTTGCTTTGGAAGTTCGCGGACTCAGGCCTTGCAGCTTCTGGAGTTCTCTCTCAGTCCGCTTATGAGTTGCATTGTTGTTCGTGTTGCTGCCCTTCTTGTTGCTACGAGGTGGGACTTAGTAAGTATGGTTATAAGTACCTTAATTGGGGTTATAAGTATAGTTGCCTTAATAATAACCGTGATTGCGTAGTGTCTATGATACAAGTCACGATGCCTGCGCTAAATCCCACCAGAAAGCACAGAAAGACGCTGCTGATGATGGTGATGGCGAGCAAGATGAAGGCGATGCAGGCTGCTGCGGTAACGAGCCGTAGAGAAAAAGGTGCTGATGATGATGACGACGATGAAAACCACGATCATGAAGATGACGATGATGGTGATAAGGATGATAATGATCATGGTGATGATGATGACGATGACGACGGTGCTGATGATGATGATAATGACGGCGATGAGAACCACGATCATGAAGATGACGATGATGGTGATGAGGATGATAATGATCATGGTGATGATGATGACGATAACGACGCTGCTGATGATGATGATGACGGCGATGAGAACCACGATCATGAAGATGACGATGATGGTGATGAGGATGATAATGTTAATGGTGATGATGATGATGATGACGATGACGACGCTTACTTGAGATTCAAAGTGGTGATCACGACCATCATCATAATCATCATCATCATCATCATCGCTGCCTTCATGGTTGTTGCTATTGTCATTGTCAAGGGTTTGTTTTTTGGCAGTCAGTCGTCAGACTCTCTCCGTGTCCCTCTTGAAGCAGTGTGTAGTAGTGAATTTGCCCCTCAATCTTGCATATGAAAGCAACAAGTCTCTGTTTCCCTGCTTCCACCACCTTGGCTGCCTTGTCTCTCCGTTGGAGAGCCATCCAAGGCTGTAAATGCGAGACTTAAAAACTCAATCCGAGGGTGACACCCGGTCTTGGACCGTTTGGCATCGCCGATGCAGGCCTTTGGTACAGGGTGCGTCTGAGCGCTTGGCTTCAAAACATTAGCCAGAAGCAGCGTACTTCACTGCTGTCAGGGACCTCCAAACATGGCCCGTTCGGGAGACAAGATTGAGGACTACTTACTGAATACCCAAACCCTAACCCTGAATACCCAAACCCTAAACCCTAAACCCTAAAACCCTAAAACCCTAAATCCTAAACCCTGAATACCAAAACCCCAAACATGTCTTCCCTTCGGGACTTCGTCCCAGCTCCCGGGCCGGTGATGCTGCAAGGCGTCTCAAGGCTGCAGCTTGCAGACTAGGGTTTAGGTTTAGGTCTTAGGGTTTTAGGGTTTAGGGTTTAGCCTAAGTAAATGGGAGTTTCCCAAAATTAGGGGTACCTTATTTTGGGGTCCTTATAATGAGGAATACTATTGTAAGCTCCAAGATGTTGGAAACCTCATTAAGGACAAATCGTGCTGGGAGTCCCTATACGTTGCTCTTAGGGATTGGGGCTATCGGGTTTCCAACTTTTAGGCTTCTGCTGTAGTTGGGCTTACTTGAAGGCTCATGGGACTTAGTAAGTAAGGTTATAAGTAGGTTATAATTAGGACAACCCCACTTAGGGGACTTATAACCCCAATTATAACCTACTTAGTAAGTCCCATGATCCTCTAAGTAGGGTTTAGGGTTTGGGGTTCAGAGTTTGTTGGTGAGCTCCAAGGTTCAGACTTTAGGGGTTAGGTAGGGTTTAGGGTTTAGGGTTTAGGGTTTAGGGTTTAGGGTTTAGGGTGTAGGGAATCCTCGTGCAAGCCCGTGATGAACGTACTTTCTTTCAAGGCCCGAATACGAAGATCCCTACTATAAACCTTGTTGAGAGACGTGGGGTTCTTGATCAGGGGTCTGCATAAAGTGTCAACTTCATACCTGAACCTCGTCAGTTTCGCTTGCTAGGCTTAGGGTTTAGGCTTTAAGGTTTAGGTTTTGGGGTTTTCGGGTTTAGGGTTTAAGGTTTTGGGTGTAAGGTTGACCCAGTAGCCTAGTTTACGGCTACTCATCATGATTTCTTCTTCAGAAATGGGAGTTTCCGAAAATTAGGGGTACCTTATTGTGGCGTCCTTTTAATAAGGACCCTACTATGTAGGGTACTACATTAGCGTCCCCCATTTTCGGAAACTCCCAAATCACTTATCCTCCGTCGACATGGCAGCTTTTTTAGGGCTACGTGTAGGGGTTTAAAGTTTACTCGTTGCATGACTGCAGACCAGGATCACAAATCCTGTGGGCTGGCAGTAGAAAAGAGTCCCCAGAGACCCGAACACGGCTTCGCTAACGAATAACTCCTCAGACATCAAATCAAGCCCTCCATCACTTCAGCGATATTCTGACTTCAGGAGTTGGGCTCTCTGGGTAAGTTCCCGTGATTTTTCCGATTGCGGTGCGCCTGATACTCCAAAATTGCCGCGTTTCAAGGGTAAAATAAACCTACTAGATTACTAGATGATCTAGGTTTGCCGAAGAGTTTTCGTTGAGGATTTCGGAGTATCCGGGTTCTGTGAAGCCATTCCAGCTTCGTCTTGGTGTGTCTTCGTATGTCTTGGCATTTCTTGGTTGCGCAAAGTTCTTAAATGCAAGCAGCCTGCCTGTTGCAGGGCCGACTTCCGGCAAAGGCTGCACACACGATACTGGAGGCTGTACACTCGCCGTGTCCCGCAAACTGGACCTGTATTGTTTGAGTGCAGGTTTGACTTTGACCCTAAACCCTAAACCCTAAACTCAACAGTGCCCCGGTCAAGCAGCGTTGGAACATAAGGCAAGCCATCGGAAAAGGGCCTTTTGAGGACAGAGACTCACTGTAGTCGCTGGATACACTAGAGTCCGATCACTGAGACCTTAAGCACCAAACTCTACTCAAACCCTAAACATGAAACTCTGCCTTCTCTACTCCACCTAAACCCCAAACCGCAGATCCTCAGATCATTGAGACAACTCGATTGGCAAGTCTGTCAGGGCGTCCTCAGCCGTGCTGTTCAAGAGGCCCACCGCAAGCGCTGCATACCTTGCGAGTTCCGCCGCAGCCTCCTTGCAGACCTTTGGGTTTTAGCGGTGTTCAGGATTTAGGGCTTTAGGGTTTAGGGCTGTAGCAGCTTGCGCTTGTATGTGTTCCTTTGACGGTTCCTTAGTTTTCGAAAGGGTTCCGGGTTGGTTTCTTATGGGATTCCCATAGGCGTTCCATGAGATTGGGGATTCCAGGTCTAGGGTTTAGCGTTTAGGCCTATATAGTAGAAGCCAGAAAGTTGGAACATGGCTTTAAGAGGATTAGTACTAGGATCCCTTATACTTTACCTTAAGGGCATGGGGATAGTGATGTTCCAACTTTGTGGCTTCTACTATAAGCTTATAGGCTTTGGGTTTCCGGTGTCAAAGCCTTCGGGCTTAGGGTTCGGCGTTTGGGCACACAATCCACTCAATTGAAAGATGGAAGATGGCCGTGCTCCGGTTGATATAAATCCTGGATTACCTTACGGACTCTAAACTATGGGAATTATGGTATATTATCTTTTCCTGATCGCGGTTAATGCAGGTTTAGTATCATCAACAGTCCCAACACCTGCCTGGGCCAGCTCACACACTTTGTCGCGGCTTAGGCAGAGCATGTCGGCTCCGGAGTCAGCGCGGGCTTGTCCCAGATAGTTCCAGGTTGTCCAAAGGCAGTGCTCGCAGAGCCAATCACCTTCCGAAAGACTTGAAACCGACACCTGGGGTCCCGAAGTGGGCAAGATCTGAGCCCAAGCAGTGTTGGAGATGGAGCCTGTCACTGAGGGCAGGCGAGCCGTGCTGTAGGTGACGCCACCGCGCACTACAAAAAGCAGGCTCTCACATTGTACTCCAGGTAGAAAGAGTGTCTCTTGTGCCATAACGTGCCACTCCACAAAGCAACGGACGCACAGCTCACGCTGGAAGGCTGAGTACTTGCTACAAAGGCTGTGCAACAAGGCATGGCCGCTGACGATGGGCGTGAAGGCCTCACGGCACAATTCCTCGTAGAGAAAGTGAGGCAAGGACCCCGCGAGCTCCTCTTTGCCCGGCGGCGCCACCCTTGACATGTGCCGGCGTGCGTAGCTGCTGAGTTGCTGCTCCAGTGTATGCGGCACCGGGTGCGCCTGAAGCATCGACCCTGATCTCAAGCCTCTAAGCTCGCTCAATACAGATTATGGCAAGGCCCATAGCAACATATTGTACAATATGATTGAAAGCTACGTAAACCCTCAGCTAGAGCCTAAACTACCCCAGCTGTCTCCTCGAGAAAATCGCAGAGCTTGTCCTCTGCCTCCTTCCTGATCCGTCTCAATCGACGCAAGTCCGAGATGTCGTTAGTGACCTGGAGGGTTCTCGCTTGTTTGGGACAAAACCCCTCATCCGAATCCTGTGTGTGACACAAAACAGGATCCCGAACAGCTTCTGCAGCCGAGCTGCCACCGATGTGAAGATGGACGCAAAGAGTACAGCAAGCGCTGTACTGAGGACCGCGAGTAGCCGCTCTGCCTGGGTCTGTAGCTCCATGTTCTCGGTGATGCGTGACGGCGGCAGCCTTGACAAAGCCTGCAAAGCAGTGCAACCTGCACCTACGCCATCATGATGAACACTGAACCCGACGCCCGAAACAGGCCTAAGCCCTAAGCAGACAGGATGCCCACTCCATGCTTCGGACATACTGCCCATGCCACGCAAGGCGAGCCAACTCAGCATCTTCAGTCCAGCCACCCACTTGTGAGCCAACGCCGAACCACGCACAGGTCAAGCAATGCAGACAGAACAGGGACACCAGCCCCATCCAAGATACGTTCCAGGTGGCACGCACTTCCCGGCTTGTCTTTCGAAGCACGTTGTGGGTAAAGGCAGCTACCCCGGAATGCTCGTAGTAATACGGAAGGGTGCAGAGCCGAAAAAGCTGCAGCGCAGAGACGCTGCCTCAGGCAAGTGGAGCTGAGGAGGAAGTGGGCCTCCACAGCGCCAGGGCCATTCTCCCGACCACCAGGAAGGCCTGCAAGCTGCTCCGGCTTGGGGTTAAGATTTAGATTTTTTCTGTTGGGCTTTGCAGCGTGTTTTGGATTCAACAGCCTCCAAAATCCACGCGGCGAGTCGCTTCCTCGACCTCTCCACCAGCTTCGGGCCTTGGGCGACTAGAAGAAGTGACCAAAAGGCGATCGTGATGCCGTCAAAAAGGCCATGTTCCAGGCCGAAAGCATAGAGGGGAAGCACCATCAAGTCCAGGAAGATGAAGACCACGCTAAGGAAGGACATGCCCTTGGCACACCTTGCGCGAACTCCACTCTGCCTCGGTCCCAACGGAGCATGCACGAGTTCGAAAGAGCTGCGGCGGGTGATGGCGCTCCTTCGTTTCTGCGAAGGTGATGCAGAGATCTTCTGCCACTCGGGATGCATCTCGAAGCGCTCTTTGCAGACATCGTCCTCTGCGCTCTCCTCCTGCACGGGGCCGGAAGACATAGCCCGGGAGAAGTCCTGCATCTTGCGGAGGGCGCTGTTGAAGGAAGCATGCTGCCTTGGCATTTCGCGCGACGACTTGGAAGAGCTCCGATCGGTGTGCCCGGTCGGGAACAGGGTGCCTATGCTGACGATGCGCGCTGACATGCCGGTTGAGGCCGCCAACTCCGGGGGTATACCTTCCGGGGGAGGCACTTCCTCCGTCAGCAGGACATCGTTCCCGGAAGCCTGCACGCGCTGCGACTTCGGGAGACACCGGCCGAACTGAAAGCTTGGAGAAAGACTCAGCAATCGAAAATCTGGTTGACGAGCCAGGACCCGAAGACCAAACAGCAGGAGACGCGAGAGTCACGGACAGCAGCAATCAGATTCATTAGACACGCCACTGGAATCACAAGCAACAGGGTGCACCCTCGAATCACGGAGAATCACAACCACCGAAGTGTTCTGCAAAAAACAAGACAATCCTGGCCTACGATGTGAACCCGGATGGAAACTAACCAGTGAACACTCCCCAAGCAATCTTGTAGAATAGCTGATGCTGCTTTGAGCGATCCCACAAGCTTCCTCTCCCCCCAATCTTACAGCCCAAACCGCTAATCCCAAACCACTTCGAAACCCCTACAGTAGAAGCCAGAAAGTTGGAACATCATTGGCCTCATGCCCTTAAGGTAAAGTATAAGGGATCCTAGCACTAATCCTCCTAAAGTCATGTTCCAACTTTCTGGCTTCTACTATAAAGTCTTGAGCCCATTCTCAAACCCTCCCAAGCTTGCGACTCCAGCAGTTCGACAAGCAGCCCTTCGATGTGCGCCAGAACTTCTGGCAGAGTTCGGATCGCCATACCTAGGCTCTTCTTACGGAACTTAAGCGGATTTAGGGTTTAGGGCCTAAAGCAAACAAAGCGGTTTCCAAAAAATTGCAAATTAAACATTCAATGCCTTAACAAGGACATTAATACTCATGGCGGAAAGAACGGTAGCGCTTTATGGCAAGCAAAGGGAGCGAGTCCGCGCCATTCTGAAGCCGAAATGTTATCGAAGCTTTCAATGGGAGCACATGCAAACACATGGGAGTTTCCGAAAATTGTGGGTGCCTTATTTGGGGGTCCTGAAAATCAGTATCCTACTATTTAGGGGTGCTGTATTAGGTCCCCTATTTTGGGAAGTTCCCACATGTCATCGGACCATGCAACGTCCAGCGAAAGCTCGGCATGTATCGATGCTGCAGATCCCCGAATCCGAAATCGGAAACCCCAACCCCTCAACCCTCAACCCCGAAACCCGAAATCCAAAAAACATCCAAAAAATGTACCAAAACAAAAAAAAAGCACACTAAAGCCAAAGCAAAGCCATGGGCCTGGGCTCAGAAGGCCTAGGCAGCGGACCACGACGCCGGCCTCGGAGCAGGCTGCGAGTGCTTTCGGTGATTTTAGGATTTAGGATGTAGGGTTTGGGGGTTTAGGGTTTAAAATTTTAAGGGTTGAGGGTTTAGGAGTTTGGTTTGAGGGTTCAGGGTTTCAGGGCTTTAGGGTTTAAGGTTGAGGGGTTTAGGGTTTAGGGTGCAAGGGGCCTCTTCAGGTTTTGGGCTGTTGTTTTGGGTCTGAGGGCTTAGGAAGTTGAGGGCTTGCAGTTCGGGGTTCAAGCTTCAGGGTTATGCGATTTACGACTTACGGTTTAAGGATTGAAGGTTGGGGGTTAAGAAAGGTCGTCATGGAAGCCCTGAAGCTCTCCGAGTCGGAGCTTTCGGGATTGAGGGCTTCGGGATTCCGATGTTTTGCTCGGGACTCGATGAGGATTTCAATCTCGGGTCGTTGAAATCTACTTGGAGGTTCATGGCTAGTTATAAGTGGGGTTATACGTAGGGTAGCTGTATTTTTTAGCCCTGTTAAGGGACTCATAACCCTACTTATAACTACCCATGAACCTCCAAGTAGCAGCTTCACCCGAAGCGCCACCACAAGTGGCTCAGGCCCAAAGTTCGGCTCGGGACATAAGTTTCAGGGTCCAGGGTATGGGGCTCGGGGCTTAAGGTCTAGGGTTTGGGATTCAAGCCTTAGGACTATCGATGACGTCGGGAGTTGACGATGAAGATTATGCTTGCGATGGTGATTGTACAGACCGCTGCGATGGAGTTTGCGGTGATGGATGCGATGATGATGACGAGGATGGTGGTGCTGATAATGATGGGGGTGGTGGTGATGACGATGACGACGATGATGATGCTGATGATGATGATGATGATGATGACGATGACGGGGATGAGGATGAGGATGATCATGATGAAGATGATCATCATGATGATGATCATGGTGATGATGTCGAAAAGAGTATTACCGACATCATCCCTTCCATGCGGGCCATCATCTTCTTAGTCTTCGGCATTATCAACCTCATGTACATCATCACCATCATTATCGTTATCCTTGTCAGCTCCAGCAATCTAACTGCTATGACTCTAACCATTGCAAACCTCCTGCGACTAGGATGACATCAAGCTGCATGTTGCCTCTTCATCTTGTGCTCTGTCTGAGATTCTCTCTCTCTCTCTCTCTCTCTCTCTCTCTCTCTCTGGTATCTAGGGCGTGAGGCGGGCGGCAACGTCCGGGCTACCCTCCTCAATGCCGAGCCGGAGGGTGTTCGCGAGCAAGCCGAGACCGCCAAGGAGGCCGATGCCGTGCGCGAAGGTGCTGAAATGGGAGACTATGCCGACCCGCCCGAGCACCGAATGAGGTTCGCAGGCCGCTCGAGACCGCCACTGACGCCCAAGCCGAACCGGGGTTCCCAAAGCAGATGATTGAGGAGAACATGATCCCACGGCGAGGGGGATCAGATGGACATCGTTGTACGGCACGACCGCCAGTCAAGTGGGCAACATCATGACCAACAGTCCCCAAGCTAAGGCGGCAGGCATGACGCTAGTACCTGTTCCTGATGTAGCCTCTTTGATGGCCTCTATAAGACCATGCACTCAGCGGGAAGCTTCGAGAACCTTGTGGTGGGACTGCCCTGGGCGCCCTCGTCGCAGACGATGACGACGGGGGGAGCCACCGTAGACGTAGACTCCAGGGTAGTGGCAGGCACGGCCCATACTGAAAGCTTTCTATCCCTGTCTCGCTCTCACTCTCACTCTCGCTCTCGCTCTCGCTCTCTCTCTCTCTCTCTCCATTTTCGACCTCTCCATCTCCCTCTCCCCAGGTGCACCTGTTGCCACGGAGTGCCCACCCGTCCTACAAAGGGCCTGTGACCACTTTGTGTATGTTAAAAGGCAAATCTGGTGCTCGACAATGGAGAGAACTTTCTCTCGGAAAATGCCTCTGGCAAGTAGGCCGTGCATCGGTGCTGTAGTAGATTCCTTGTGCAGCCTGCAGCGAGACCTGTAAGCTTGCATTGCTTCTTCGCCTAGGGCGTAGAAGAAGGAGTTCACAAAGGGACCCAACTTAGCGGGAGAGATCTTAGAGTTGGGCCCGGTGCTTCCAGAAATCCTGCACTGCTGGACTTCCTGCGTTTATGGAGTCGTTCGGGCCCCTTTGCACTGGTACAGAACCATTCGGATAAAAAATGTCAGCAGCTGCTGTGCACACTAGGCTCATCACAAAAAAGGTCCTGCTGGTCCTCACAGTCACTGTGTTACTGAGACAGCTCTATCGGCAAGTCTGACAGTGCCTCCTCGGCCGTGCTGTTCAAGAGGCCCACCGCAAGCGTCGCATATCTTGCGAGTTCCGCGGCGGCCTCCTTGCAGACCTTGGCTACGCGCCGCATGACATCTCCACACACTCCGGTGGCTCTCTTCATCTTACCCCTTTTCTCCAACCGTGCCTGAGCCAGCTCGCAGACTTTGTCGCTGCTTAGGCAAAGCATGTCGGCTCCGGAGTCAGCGCGGGCTTGTCCCAGATAGTTCCAGGTTGTCCAAAGGCAGTGCTCGCAGAGCCAATCACCTTCCGAAAGACTTGAAACCGACACCTCGGGTCCCGAAGTGGGCAAGATTTGAGCCCAAGCAGTGTTGGTGATGGAGCCTGCCACTGAGGGCAGGCGAGCCTTGCTGTAGGTGATGCCACCGCGCACTACAAAAAGCAGGCTCTCACATTGTACTCCAGGTAGAAAGAGTGTCTCTTGTGCCATAACGTGCCACTCCACAAAGCAACGGACGCACAGCTCACGCTGGAAGGCCGAGTACTTGCTACAAAGGCTGTGAAACAAGGAATGGCCGCTGACGATGGGAGTGAAGGCCTGACAGCACAATTCCTCGTAGAGAAAGTGAGGCAAGGACCCTGCGAGCTCCTCTTTGCCCGGCGGCGCCACCCTTGACATGTGCCGACGTGCGTAGCTGCTGAGTTGCTGCTCCAGTGCATGCGGCACCGGGTGCGCCTGAAGCATCGACCCTCATCTGAAGCCTCTAAGCTCACTGAATCGAGAGACTGACCATGACGTAACAGCACATAACATAACATAGAGCAACATATGCAAAGTATATGTGTACATGATGTGCATGTGCATATACACGTATAATCACATATATAGTATGTGCCGCATAATATTGTCAAACTTCAGGGAAGTCAGCTAGAGCCTAAATTACCCCAGCTGTCACCTCGAGAAAATCGCAGAGCCTGTCCTCTGCCTCCTTTCTTATCCGCTTCAATCGGCGCAAGTCCGACATGTCGTTGGTGACCTCGAGACCACAAGCTTGTTTGGGCCATAACAGAATCCTGTGTGTGACACAAAACAGGATCCCAAACAGCTTCGGCAGCCAAGCTGCCACCGATGTAAAGATGGACGCAAAGAGTACAGCAAGCGCTGTACTGAGGACCGCGAGTAGCCGCTCTGCCTGGGTCTGTAGCTCCATGTTCTCGGTGATGCGTGACGGCGGCAGCCTTGACAAAGCCTGCAAAGCAGCGCAACCTGCACCTACGCCATCATGATGAACACTGAACCCGACGCCCGAAACAGGCCTAAGCCCTAAGCAGACAGGATGCCCACTCCATGCTTCGGACATACTGCCCATGCCACGCAAGGCGAGCCAACTCAGCATCTTCGGTCCAGCCACCCACTTGTGAGCCAACGCCGAACCACGCACAGGTCAAGCAATGCAGACAGAACAGGGACACCAGCCCCATCCAAGATACGTTCCAGGTGGCACGCACTTCCCGGCTTGTCTTTCGAAGCACGTTGTGGGTAAAGGCAGCTACCCCGGAATGCTCGTAGTAATACGGGAGGGTGCAGAGCCGAAAGAGCTGCAACGCAGAGACGCTGCCCCAGGCAAGTGGAGCTGAGGAGGAAGTGGGCCTCCACAGCGCCAGGCCCACTCTCGCGACCACCAGGAAGGCCTGAAAGCTGCTCCGGCTTGAGGTTAAGATTTAGATTTTTTTCTGTTGGGCTTTGCAGCGTGTTTTGGGATCAACAGCCTCCAAAATCCACGCGGCGAGTCGCTTCCTCGACCTCTCCACCGGCTTCGGGCCTTGGGCGACTAGAAGAAGTGACCAAAAGGCGATCGTGATGCCGTCAAAAAGGCCATGTTCCAGGCCGAAAGCGTAGAGGGGAAGCACCATCAAGCCCAGGAAGATGAAGACCACGCTAAGGAAGGACATGCCCTTGGCACACCTTGCGCGAACTCCACTCTGCCTCAGTCCCAACGGAGCATGCACGAGTTCGAAAGAGCTGCGGCGGGTGATGGTGCTCCTTCGCTTTTGCAAAGTTGGTGCAGCAGCAGAGATCTTCTGCCAGTCCGGGTGCATCTCGAAGCGCTCCTTACAAACATCGTCCTCTGCGCTCTCCTCCTGCACTGGGTTAGAAGAAATAGCCCGGGAGAAGTCCTGCATCTTGCGCAGGGCGCTGTTGAAGGACGAAGTCTGCCGTGGCAGTTCGCGCGACGACTTGGAAGAGCTCCGCTGCGACGAAAGGCAAGCGCCAAAGCTCACAGAGCGAGGCGCAGCCGGTGAAAGCAAAGCCGGGGGTGCACCTTCGGGAGTCCCAACAGGAGTGGCATCTCATCAAGCTGTTTTTTTTTTTTTGGGGGGGGGGGGGGGAATTCTCATACTTTGTTCGTAGGTGCCTTTCTGGGGTTTACGGTTTTGGGTTTATTAATTTGGGATTTTGGAGTATGCTTCTTTTGGGGAGCCGGGCCCTTTCCTTCCGGGACTGGCAGTGGCACGTGCTCATTCGGATGGACATCGTTTCCGGCGGCCTGCAATCTCAGAGAGGCTTCCTTTATGGGATCCTTTCAAGCTTCCTTTAGGGGATCCTTTAAGGGTATCTTTAAGGGTTTCTGTAAAGATTCGTGTAAGGGCTCCTTGTAAGGTTAAGGGTTCCTTCAAGGATTCCTTTACGAGATCCTTCAATTTAAAGGTTCTTCTAAGCAGGAAGTTCGCTTGACCAAAGGGGCCTTCTTAATTGTTTGGGGCTACAATGGAGTAGTAGTAATAGTAGCAGTAGCAGTAGCAGTAGCAGTAGCAGTAGTAGTAGTAGTAGTCGTAGTAGTAGTAGTAGTAGTAGCCGCAGCGCAGTAGCCGTAGCCGTAGCCGTAGCCGTAGCCGTAGCCGTAGCCGTAGCCGTAGCCGTAGCCGTAGCCGTAGCCGTAGCAGTAGCAGTAGCAGTAGCAGTAGCAGTAGCAGTAGCAGTAGCAGTAGCAGTAGCAGTAGCAGTAGCAGTAGTAGTAGCAGTAGTAGTAGTAGTAGTAGTAGTAGTAGCTGACAGGAGCAGCAGCAGCAGCAGCACCACCACCACCACGGTAGCAATAGAAGCAATGAATGGGGTTGGCAGTGGCAGCGGCAGCAGCGGCAGAAGCAGCAGTATCAGCACTGATGGTAGCAATTTCATTCTGCACGTAAATATATTTCTCGCCGATGCGTGTTCGCTCGTTTTCGTCGTGCCTGGGAGTGGAGGAGCTCCACGAGCAACCCTTCGATTTGCACCAGGACTTCCGGCAGCGTCCGGATCGACAGACTCATGGCAACGGCCAGACGCTTGCGGCACGCAATGGGCGGATCCACCCTGAAGCCGAAAGGCCATCGAAGCTGTCGGGCATCAGCCATCGGGCGACCAGTCTGAGTTCGGGCTCCAAGGGGTTCTTGCTGCAGAAGTACTTTGAAAACACGAAGACCACGTATTTCTGGGAGGCACCTTACAAACTGCAAGCTCCTGTCTCCCGGCTCACAACACCCTACGCCGCGAAAACCTGAACCTGCAGACTCCAAAGTCCCCAACACGGCACAAACCCAAAATGAACACCACAGCAAAGGCACTGAAAACACACACACAAAGCCGAACGCCCCAAAAACCGAACACCCTCACAAGCTGGTACTGAAGCTAGTATATACAAGGGTTCTTTGCCCAAGCAGTTAGATGGACTTGTACTTATGACAGCTGGGGCTGAGGGAGGTGGATTTTTGAAGGCCAGAAGGATGTCAGGGTTGAGGGAGTCATGCCGGTTGTTGAGCTTAACCCAAAACCCTAAACCCGAAATTCTAAACCCTACACCCTGCCCTAAACTTTTCGTGTGAACCCGAACCCCTAAACTCTGAGTCGGCAAACTTCCATTCAGTAGGGCTGGGGCTCAGCCCCATGCCTGAAATCTACAATCATAGGGACCCTTAGGGGGGTATAGGGGGCCTTCATAATTAGAATAAGGACCCAATAAGGCATATGAGGAAGTAAAGTCCCCCACCCCCCTCCACCCTACCCCCCCCATAAGGGTCCCTATGGCTACAAAGTCATGTCAAGGGCTCCACAAGCGTCCTCTACGGATTCGCCAAGGGGTTGGCGGGTTTAGACGTCCGGTTTGGTGTCCGACAGAAAGCTCTAGTGCCTGCTAAAAAATTGCAGTCTCAAAACAACACCTGGTCCTTGGCTTCGGAAACTGATACGAAGGAGAAAAGACACACATGAGAAACATCAAGATACAACCACTGTCCAAAGATTACCTGTACGTGGAAGCGGTGACAACGCCAGACATGTCTTTCGATCGTTCACTTCAAAACCATAGCTTGGTGGCGCGGGCAAGTTTTGTTGATTGCTTTCTACAGCCCCAAAAGAATGAACAACAACCGCAACCCGACTGACCATGCCCTTCACCCCAAATCCTAAGCCCTTCTTGATGCCAAGGTACAATGAGCAGAAACCCGGAAACCTGATGATGTTTTCATGGCCCTTCCGTGTTGGAAGAATAGATGCTGGGTGTTTTCCAAACATACATAGAAATTTGTCGGCAGGAACGACATGCCATGCTACCGAAGTGCAAATGATAAGGAATCTTGTTCAAGCACGGTGGAGACACATGTCACTTAGGGTTATGCTGTGACCAAGTATGCAACCATCTACATAACCCGCCGCATCTCTATGAGTCACACACAAGTACACTGAAAGAACTGACTGAGTCTCGTGCCCTTGCGGCCACTGCAGCTGGGAAGGGCGCCGCGGCTGAACCCAAAGTGCTACAAGTACCATGCAGAAGGTCTTTTATGCGACCACAGTATCGACCAGTCGACTCCTTAAACCCGGAAAGGAGCAAGCGGATACTCCACCCTCTTATCTTGTCGCATGTAAGTTAAAGATGGGGAGCTTTAGCGTTCGGCCTTCGGCTTTTAGTATTATCGTATCCCTTATGGTATACCTTATAGTAGTCCTTCTATAGATCTCTTTAAAGGGGCCCTATTCTACTTATTCAGGCCGCTCTTGTTCTTTGCTTGTTGCTGTCTGTTTGTCGACAGGGACCCTTCGAGCCCGAGCACGGAAGAAGGAGCTTTGACCGTGGCTCATGTGGGGGGCCTTAGTAGTTCTATAGAGTAGGGTCCCTTTAAAGGGATCTATAGAAGGACTAGTGTAAGGGATACTATAAGGGTACTATAATGGCATCTAATTTGCGCTCGAGTCTTTGCCACCAGCGCTTACCAATCCATCACGTCCTTTGCCTGCTCAGCTTTGGGTACATTGGCGTGCCCATAAGGGCAATGCCTGCAACCAAAGCCACAGCATGGCCTCTTCTTGAGGTACGTCGAGGTGAAGACAGCATAGCCACTAGCCGGATCCTCGTATTGGTATCTTCCTTGCAAGGTGGCCAGCCGATGAAGCATGGACCAGGTTGCTTGCGAACGCTTCTCCGATGAGAGGCGCTGGAGAGCCGTCAATGCTTGAGTCGCTCGGTTGTCGCCGGCATCTGCGCTGCGCTTCACTTCATCCAGAGACAAGGGATCCGCGTCGTCCCACGCTGGCAGTCCGGTTTCACTAACACGGGAGGGAGAGGTCATGGCCGAGCCCCCACCTCTGCCCATGGCTGATGCCCACAGCTCCCTGTACGGGAGCAGCCATGCGCAAACTCTGCCATCTGCATCTTCCTGCTGTCTGCAACTCCAACCACCAAGGAATAAAACGTTAGAACTTTCTCAAAAGGGACTAAAAAATAAAGACAAAAAAATGAAGTTTTCTCCCATTGGCTGAGAAAGATTCTGTACCCTCCGAGCTCGACCAGATGAGCACGCCACTGTCTGCCGCGACTAGGCCGTGCTCACACACTGGCTGGCCAAGCCCAGGCAAAGACAACCACTCGCGAGTGCGCAGAAGGAACATGCCCGCCTCTGCAAGAATGCCGTCTGCTGCATGACCACCCGTGATAAGCAACGCGTCCCCAATCACGGCAGCTGCATGACTAAAGCGAGGGCTGATGACAGCGTTGTCATCAAAGAGCTTCTCCCAAGCCCAGCACTGAGCTGGCCCGCGCCAGCGTAAAAGCCACAAATCTCCCAGTTCACTGTGTGCTCCGTGGCCCCCATGCACAAGCATCCCTTCCGTGCCCCACGCGCAAGCTACGTGGCGGCCTCGTGGACAGGGACTAGGACCACATTCTACTTGCTCCCATCGCCAGGCCGCGAGATCCAGAACATGAATGTCGGCCAAGTATGCGCTGCCGTCTGAACCTCCAAAAATTACAGCACGGGATCCTCTGTCATCAATGACCAAACTGGCATCTTCGCGGGGTGCTGGCTCTGGCCCGGTGGTGCTCCCATGGGTCCAGCAAAACGTCTCTAGATGCAAGAGTTCCAGATGCGCGAGGGCCTGCCCGCTTTTGGGGCACCGGCCGCCGAAGACCAAGAGAACGTTGCCCCATCTAGCCTCGGCTGACTTGGGAGTATCCGAAAATAGGGGACCCTAATGTAGTACCCTAAGTAATAGTATCCTTATTATAAGGGCCAAAAAATAAGGTACCCCTAATTTTCGGAAACTCCCACTTCTGAACCCCTCCGAAAGGTGATACTTGTAGCCCCAATCCTGTAAAGACTATAGCCTATGGCAACCTAAGTTTTAAAGTCCCGGTTAACAGCTAAGGAGAGGACAGCCAAGCAGCCACACAGTGGCGACTTCGCGGAGTCGGCCCAATCTCACCGCTGACTTTGGAGCAAGCCTGCTGCTGCCAGATTATGCCTCCAGACGCAAGCTTGCCGCGCCATAAATCGCAGGGGCGCGATCCGGAAAGCTGGGAGAGCACCAGCTCACCCTCCAGAACGCCAGAAACAAGGGTGTGGGCTGCAGAAGTCGGCTGGCCATGTTGGCATCCTTCCCTGTTGCTGCAGATTGCCCTCCAAGTTGATTTGGTGGCATGTTCCCGCGGAGCTGCAGCCGGGTCAAAGTCCGGACATACAGCTAACCAGTCCACACCGTTTATGCCTCCCTGCAGCCGTAATGCATCTCGAGCGTGGTGGACTGGCAGACAGCCAGGGTGTATCAGACTGGCTAACTGCTCGATACCATCAATAATCCGCGGTCCTGGGCGTGAAAGAAGGGCATGCCCAACAACATAGAATCCTTCGTCTCCAGCACCAAGGAATGAAAGAGTTCCAACTTCTTGAGAGGGACCAAATAAGGAAGACAGACCATTATAAAGTTCTCCCATTGGCTTAGAAAGAAGCTAGCAGGCGTGTGCCGCATTGCAGGCAGCTGCCAGAAACCAGGCCTGGCCACCAAGTGATTCACGACGTCCTCCGCTGCCTCGGTCGCACTCCGGCCGCAGCAAGACACCACGATGACGTCGGCGTCGCAGCCTGCTACCTGGATATTTCAGAAAAACAAAGGTCCTTCTTGAGGGCGTCCTCGAAATGAGCACCCGCCCACTATTAGGGGTCTACGGTCGGGTCCCTAATTTCTTGGGAACTCCACCTCGTCCCAAGACAGTCGCCGAGGCTTTGCGCCAGGTGCATCCCCAAGGGCATCCGATCCACCAGCACGTTGCCTCATATCTGGCAGCCACTGTCCAGAAGCCACGAGGGGACAAACGCTCTCCAAGCCCAGCACGCGGGGAGCACCCATGCCTCGCACCACTTGGACCACACGATCCAGTCGGCGTTGGAGGCCCTGTGTGACAGACATTGCAGCCGCCTGTTCTCCAATGACGTGCCCAATAATTTCGATAGTAGCTAGAATCTCGTCTACTGTGGTCGCACCCACGGCAACCGACCTCTTTGACTCGAGGCCTGCAGCTGACAAGGCACGGCCCACGGCCGATGTACTCGCATCGCACGTAGGGCAGCTCTCCTGCGACAGCACCACCCCTGGGCGGGCAGAGCGAAGCCAGTCCACGTCGATGGGATGGAAGTCTGTGACGCCGTCTGCTAGCAGCTTCTGCACCTGCTCCTCCACCTCTTCAGAGCTGCGCCCGTCGATGTGGATGAGATTGCGTGTGGCTTTGCGCAGCTGAAGGACATCTGCTGGGTAGTCGCAGTGTGCACTGACAGCCACCAAACGTTCAGAGGCGCCAGGGATAGAACACAAGGCTTCCGTGCCACTTGGCAGGAGAGACACCACCGTCAAGCAGCGCCGTGCTGCAGTCACCAAGGCCTCTGCCAATCCTTCGGCGGCTCGGAAGTGGACATGGCAATAGGAGGCTACAGTGGAGCGGCAGAAGATGCCCTCTGGAACAAACTCAGCACCTGGGCGCTCCATGCGAGTTTGGTAAGCGGCTAAACCGACGCCGCACAAGCCCATACTGCGGCCATCGGCATCAACCAGCTCAGCTGGCTCTCCGTTCAAAGTTACTTCTGAGAAGTGATATTGCTGGCATCGGAATTCCACGAGGCTCGGTATCTGCAGCAGCGAGGCAACTGCAGGACTGGGTCTTGAGGTGCAGTAGCCCATGACCATGCGGTCAGTCATCGAGACGTCAAAAGGCAATACGCCAGCCATCTGAAATCTCCGCCGCGCGCCACTCGTTTCATCCTTGGCACGCACAGTCATGGTCTGGGCAAGGTACATCAGACCTCCACACTCTGCCCAGCAAAGACCACCTCGTTTGCAGAAGTCGTGCACAGACTTGCGCAAGCCGGCGTTGCCTTCCAGTTTTGCTCCGTGCAGTTCTGGATATCCACCTCCGAAGTAGAGTGCTTGCAAGTCTGCTGGCAGCACAGGGTCTGTAAGCGGAGAGAACCTCACCAACTCTGCCCCAGCCGCTTCCAACAGCCGAAGGTTGTCCTCGTAGTAGAAACAGAAAGCCTCGTCTTTGGCAACTCCAATGCGCACCGGTGGAGATCGCTGGCTGGGCAAACTGCTTGCTGGACGTGTTCGCCATGTCTCAGGTATACCCTCCTTTGCCATAAACATGAGAGCCTCAATGTCCATGTTGTTGGCCAGAAGATTGCCCAGCGCCTCCAAGTGAGGGGCATCCCCCTCGCCAGGCATGCACAGGCCCAGATGCCGCTCTGCAACACGCACGCTGGCATCCTTTGGCAAACAGCCCAACACGGACAAGTGCGACACAGCCGGAGTGGAGCGCATCGCCTCACGCAGCCACTCTGCATGTGAATCACCTGCCACACGGTTGAATACCACACCCTTGACAAGCACCTCAGGGTCAAACACGGTGTAGCCCAACACCATCGCAGCTGCACTGCGAGAAAGGCACCATGCATCCACCACCAACACAACTGGCGCGTGGAGCCACTTGGCCAGCTCTGCAGTGCTGCCGGCATCGCTACGGCCGTCCAAGCCGTCGTGAAGGCCCATGACCCCCTCTACAACCGCTACATCCGCACAGCTCCTTGCACATGCCGCTTGAAAGGACTCCTGGCAGCCACTCTTGCCCAGCATCCAACCGTCCAAGTTGACCGATGGCACACCACAAGCAGCTGTGTGGTGCATGGGGTCCAAAAAGTCAGGTCCCACCTTGAAGGGCTGTACCCGAAGGCCTCGCCGACGGAGCGCAACCATCAACCCCACAGCCACAGAAGTCTTGCCAACACCACTATGCACTCCTGCAACAACGAAGCAAGGTGGTCGTGTCCATGTCGCCGGCTCCTCGTGCAATGCCATGGGGTGAACGCCCAAATTGCTTGATATAACAGCTTCAATCAACTTGGGCAAGAGTTAGTAGCAAGGTGGCGTGGGAATGTAAAATTTCTCGGCTCATGTCCACTTAGCACGGACATGCTTCAATGCCGCAGTGGTGCTGACGCTAAGTGCAGCTGCGACGGCCCTGTGTCGGCAAAAACTCTGCAAGAAGCCTCACAGTCGGGAAGGGGAGCAAAGCGCAGACCTGCGAAGGGGCAAGAGTTCAAACGTTTGAGTTTGGGCTTAGGGTTTAGGGTTTAGGACAAGATGTCGTTTTGCTCTTTCTAACGTCTGCCAATGAGTTCAGATGTTTAAGCTTTTGGGCTTAGGGTTGGTTTCGGGACTAGGGTGAGGTTCAGGTTCTAGAGTTTGGGGTTCGCAGGATATACTATACTGTGATATAAAACAATACATATGTATACGTATGTATATATATATACATATATACAAAGTTTACAGGGTGTGCCGGGTGTACACTAAGGCTTACAGGGTTTATATAGTTTAACCTTTTACAATTGCTTGTATGATTTTGTCATAAGGGTTTGATGAGGAGCATCTCGGTGTATTGTAACAGGGTGCTGGCCTACGGGCTTAGAAAGGCTGAATGGGCTGTATAAGTATAAGGTCTTGCAAACAAGCTTTGTATGGGTTAAGAGAGGGTCTGGCGAACTGGGAGGAGCAGGCCTTAGCGACATGGTAACAATGTTACTGCATGTACGTGTTTCTGTAAACTCAATTCTCTTGAACTCAAGTTGTTCTTGTAGTGTTGTTCGTCGTGGCTTGCCGCCATGTGGCCTCCATTGCGCGCCCGCTTGACTCAGCACTGACGCGCACCTGCTGGCACTGCAAGCCTGTCGCGTGAAGGTGAGCAACAGTGCAGTGCTTTCCGATCGTTGGCGATTTGCTGTGCGAGAGAGAGAGAGAGAGAGAGAGAGAGAGAGAGAGAGAGAGAGAGAGAGAGAGAGAGAGAGAGAGAGAGAGAGAGAGAGAGAGAGAGAGAGAGAAAAAGAGAGAGAGAGAGAGAGAGATGGAGGGAGGAAAGGAAAGAGGGAGAGGGAGGGTAGGAGAGAGGGAGAAAGGCAGAGAGGGAGAGAGGAAGAGAGGGAGAGAGGGAGAGACGGAGAGAGTGGAGAGGGAGAGAATAGTAGGATAACAAGAAAAGCCATAGACAAGTACATGAGACCAAAAGACAGAGTGGCCGCTGGGTCTGAAGATTCATCCCTGCGATCACAAACACAGGTGCCTAAACCCAACGCGAACCCTATGCCCGAAATCCTGAACCGGCCAAATCCAGGAATTGCCTGCATGTCAAAGGATGCCGAGGCTGAAGCCGCAACCAAACACACCTGACCAAGCTCCACATGGGGGTTTCCGAAAATCGGGGGGTACCTTATTCTGGGGTCCTTATAATAAGGATCCTACTAATTCGGGTACTATTTTAGGGTCCCCTATTTTCGGAAACTCCCACATGCCACAAGGCTTCGTATAGTTATGCATCGAAGCGTGACAAGGGCTTTTCTGGGTCCCATAGCATCGTTTGCACGGGTTATTAGAGCTTTAGATTCGCAACTGGTTGGAGTTCGGGCTCCAATCCTGTCTTACCGGCATGAATACTTTCAAAACATCCCTTGATTCTGCGAGGTACCATGCAATTTAGAAACTCCTGTCTCCTAGCTCTAACACCCTAAGCCGCGAAAACCTGAACCTGTAAACTCCAAAAACCCCGGACCGCATCGAAAAAAACAGGAACACTAAAACCCCAAAACCGTAAAACCCACACACGTTGGTTTCAAGACAGTACGAGGGTCCCCTCAATCGTGGCTAGATGAGATAGTATCGATAACAACTAGGGTTGACGGTGTCAGGGTCGAGCACGTGAAGTTTTGGGCCTGGGCTTAGTATCAAAAGCCATGAGCCCCTTCTGAAACCCTATGGATCCCTATGGATCCCGGTAGAGCTCTTGGAAAGCCAGACTAACCAGGATAGTTCGCCTGAAATATTCCGGAGTATGGCCCCGAAAATCGGCCAGCCCGGAGACATCAATCTATCTATTCAGGACTTTCCCCTGCAGTTTCTGTTGCTGACAGGGCAATTGGAATCTCTGCAAGCTGCCTTCTCATTATGATCTAGCTGCCGGGCAGCCAGAGGAGTTCCAGTTAAGGGTTTCGGGGCTTCGGGGAACTTTGGGGTTCAGGCTGTTGAGTTTGCATGTTCGGGTTCCGGAACGACCACTGTCAGGTTGAAGTTGTGACAACATCCATCAACGCTAGACATGGCTTTGGACTGAACACCTCAACCCTGAGTCTTACAATCGTAGCTTGATCTCTCCACAAAACTCCAGAGCCCCGCTGACTCTGCATCCACCAAAAAAGAAGGTGTTTTGGTGAAATGGCCAACTAAGGGTGTCCGGTTTTCGGGCGTGCAAGGACTTAAGGTTGGTTTACGGTTTGGCATTGAATGGTTCAGTAGGTGCACCTGAAATCCCAAACGTGGCTCCAGCTTGCATTGTTGACAGCGGTTTCTAAAGCTTCAAGACAGTGAACTACAACCGCAACGCGATTGACCATGACCTTCACCCTAATCCTTAAACCCTTCTTGATCCGAAGTTGGGATTAGCCGAAACCCTGAACCCTCATGACGTTTCTTTGGCCTTCTGCGTTGGAAGGAAAGAGGGTTGGCGAATTCGGGGATCGTGCGCCTAACGCCGCGTTTCGATGAGATGACACTATACGGGATGCTTTTCAACCAACCGTTTCGTTCAAAAACTGATGATGCGCAGTTGTCTGATTGGTTTTCACTATACGTTCCTGTCGTTTTTTCAAGGATCCTGGAATCAAACCGGCCGTGCGTGCTTAGGTACGCAAAAACCGAGCCGCTGTCTGAACAAAGGTCCCCTACCTAAAACTTGTTTGCAGTACCATCGTCGCCTTCACGAGCAGAACCATTCGTGCTAAAGTTGATTCATACTCGTCACGAACATGGTAGCAACATCAAGACTCATCAATAGCCATGCCATCATGAGTGCTGTTGTCATAATACCGTCGTCATCGTCATCACCATTGAAGTTCATCACCACCATCACCGGAACCACGATCATATTCTGCACTATCAACATCGTCAGCGACATGGTCATCGCACCGTCGCGTTCATCGCATCACCACCACCAACCAGCAGCCATCATCATCATCATCATCAATGTCGCAGTGCTGTCCTCCGTAAAAAAACCAGTTCATGGAAACCAACAAACAAATGTGAAACCAGAAACATCTTTGCATCCAACTGGATTGTGCTCAATGTAGCTCAAATCATCAGTGAAAGCCGGATCTAAAGCACTAAGGTACTGCTTCAAGCTCCACAGCCACGACGACCATTCGCCGTGCTTGGCTTCACGTTGCAGGCTTAAACACATCCAGCTTCGGCACAAGCGGGACATGTCGCCTCCACCCAGACCTGACTTGCGCTTCTTGGTTGCTGCGACCAGCGCTGCTTGCGGCTGTACTTGCTGCTGTTGTTGCTTCCATCATCTGTCTCCTCATCAAAAGACCTTGCGACAAAACGGGTATAGTGGTGGAGAAAGTGCTTCGCACTGCGGAAATTGACGACATTTGTGTTTTCTGAACCCACACGCCCAATGCTGTGGCGAGAGGCAGATTTGGAAGCACGGGTGCTTCCAAAATGGCAGAGCTAACGGTTCGGAATTTGTGCACGGTGCTTAACTCCAAAACTCCCATGCATGGGGACTCAAGTGGCTCTCGCCAGTTTTTTTGCTCTTTTTAGCACAAACTATTTGCAACATTCCTTCCCTCGACCTTGCTTCTGGTTGCATTTACTGTTTCTAGACCGGCTGGTTGCTTCCTCAAAACAAACTCCGAACTGCACTTTTTGCTCGCACTGGTTGGGCCAGAACAGATGCAAGAGCTGTAAAACTTTCAAACCCTGAACAACCCGTCAAGGTCTGCACAGACTTTTGCTCGCGCAACAAACCAAGTGTTCAGCTGTTCTTGCACTGCACTGCTGTCACCTAAAGCTTTGCTTTAATGAGCCTCAGAACTTGTTTCATCATCGGCCCATTCTTTCATCTTTCAACGAGCTTCAGTCTCAAAGCTTTCCAGCCTCGAGCCACACATAAAGCGCGGCACTCCGGATTCACATGTGCTTCAGCACATGCCCAAAACAAAACTTCGCTTCAAAAGCATGCCGTCACAGCTTCTCTACACGCTCCACGCTGGCAAACAAACTCGCATACACTACTGCTGTTTGAGAAGGTACCTTGAGGCCTTCGAGAACTCATGCGGACTCTAACCATTCTAACGGTTCACAGCATTCACTCAGCTCACTCAAAAGCACAAGCAACTCATGCCACATGGCGAAAACTGTTCTCGCAGCTGAAAACCAAGGTTCCATGCCATGAAAACCGCAGCTCCCAGTGAAAACTTTCCAGGGCTTTGAGAAAACCTCTGCAAAACCAAAACCATGCAGAATATATCCAGATAACCATTGCACCTCAGAAAATTTCAGGAATCGCAGGAAAATTGGCTTGCACTCCAAACTGCAGTCAGCAGCCTGATGATATACATATCGCAGCCCATCACACTGAGCGGCTCCACCACTCAACAGGCAGCTCAGAGACACAATTTTTCTTGCGCCAAGCTGAAAGCCGTCCGAGACGCGTGTTCGCGAGTGAATTCGGCATGCATTCGGGTGAGAAACCTCAGCCCCCTTGGGCGAGGGCCGGCCCTGCGACCTGCTACGCCCGCCAAAACCTCAATCCGGGTCCAGGCTTCACAGCCTCAGGGAGTCAACCTCAGCCACGAGGGCGAGGAGCCTCGACCCGTAGGTGAGGAGCACTGGACAAAAGCAGGGCTCAAGGGCCAGACAGGCGCTCAAGAGCCTGTGATGCCTCCTGAGCGGGCACAATTTTTCGTGCGTCGAGCGCGGAGGCCGTCGTAGACGAGGTCTCAACACGTGAATTCCATGCAGAAGGGTGAGTACCTCAGACCCCTATTGGGTGAGGGGCTACAGCAACCTCGGCCACAGTTGGGCGAGGGGCGGAGGCCCTACCTCTGTACAGGGTTTCAGTACCACCTTAAGGATGCCTTCGGCAAGTCCCGGGGTAAAGGCGGGGTCCTGGCTTCTGTAGCCTCAGAAAGGGGTGAAAACTTGGTGCTGGCTCGAAGAGCCTCAGAAAAGTGACGAACCTCAGCCTGGAAGGTGAGGAGCCTCAACCCAGAGGTGAGGAGCCAGAGCAGCTGCCCTTTGCCTGGGCGAAGCCAAGCTCAAGAGAGGGGACCCTGAGGGAGCGACTGGAGAGGAACCTTCAGGGGCTCGTAAAGAGTATCCTTAACGCCACCAATCGCAACCAAAAACGCCCTTAGGAAAGCGAACGGCGGGGAGAAGTGAAAGTACGAAGTGAACCTTAGCCAGAAGCTAGGAGCGCTGGGCCCAGGGGCGAGGGACAGGGGCTACCTCAGCTACACTGCCACTGGGCTGCACATCACCACGGCCCACCAAGTGCACAGGCAGGTTGAGTGGGCAGATCTGGCCGAAGCGAGACCGAAGGTGCGCGACTCCCTTGGCCGCCAACTGCCTATCCGCAGCCACGGCAACAGAGCTGCCGCCCCTCAATTTGGACTTAAGCGCAAGGCCCACGCATTCCCCTCAACGAGGCGCAGGGAACGACGCTTTCCCTTCAATTCTCAAGCGCAGGGAACAACGCTGTGCCACGGAAGAGGACGGGCAGAAAAGAGACCTGCCCCTGAGGGCCTGCAACCCAAAACCCAAGGCAGGTAAACAGAAAGAAAGGAGCCAGGAAGCCAAAGGTGCTGCAGGGAGGAAAGCCAGGGACTGCTCAGCCCACGGAGAACAGCATGACTGCCAAGCGGAACCTTCTCCGCAAAACAGGCAAGAGCGAGCAAATCCTACCAAAAGCAACAAAAGCCAAAACAGCTCCAGGCCAGCGGCGAAGTGTCGCAAAAGCTGCGAGAGTTACGCCAGGGGGAGAGACGACACTGCATCACAGGCAGAAAAGCTGAGTGGGAGCCCGGCGGCACAGGCGCCAATCCTCGGCGCTCATCCTCCATCTGCCGACGGGCAATGTACTCAGCAGTAAGAGGTCATGATGTGCCCTTCCATAAGCTGCTGGTTGGCACAAGCAATCGAACAGGCATAACATCTCAGGAAGTTGTCCGAGATCTCTTCTCTCTCAGTCAGCCCTTTCAGCTTTAACGCAAAACTTCTAACTAAGCCTAGAATCTTTTTTTGGCTTGACAGGGCCTCGTCGACTACGGCTGTAGCACTCGGTCCCTACAAACAAGCGAAGCTAACACAAACTACAGACTACAAACTTCTTATTTCCTTAGTGTTGACCGCGTGGGAGTCTCTGAAAGTTAACTGTTGTTGAGCACATGCGAAAGCTTAAACAATGCAACACACTCGGACAGCGTCTTCGTTTTCTCTCGAGAGGGCAAAGGGGTGCAGTAAGTCTCGAGTTTGTTCACACCTTGCTCGCCCTGCCACAAACGGCAGGGGTAGGCACAAAGATGTTACTTCAGCAAAAGGCGAGGGAGGGCGGGCCAAAATTTTCATGGGCCAGAGAAAGCTTCTACCTCCACATCCCTCCCATCTCGAGCAGGCGACATCGGATGGTCGAGGGATTCCACTGTTCAAACACAAGGCAAATGACATGTGTTGAAAAGCTGAAGCATGAAAAAGGGCAATCAAACCACGCTTGAATTTTGACAAAGAAAATTCATCAACACACGGAAATAAGAGCATCGTTCCTCCGGGACCGTAACTTTATTTCCTTAGTGTTGACCGCGTGGGAGTCTCTGAAAGTTAACTGTTGTTGAGCACATGCGAAAGCTTAAACAATGCAACACACTCGGACAGCGTCTTCGTTTTCTCTCGAGAGGGCAAAGGGGTGCAGTAAGTCTCGAGTTTGTTCACACCTTGCTCGCCCTGCCACACCCCATCTGAGAGCGAGCTCGGTAAGCAGATGCCTCAAACCGGCCAAGCGCACGGAGCTTGAAGCCTTTGCACACCATCCCTCAGTAAATGACCGAAGACACTACGACTGGGCTCGTCTGCTGGATTAGAGCTGGTTGGCACCCGGCCATACCACGGACGGATCCTTGCTGAGTCCTCCAAGTCGAGAACCGAACTCACTATGGACTGACCAGGGAGAGTCGACGACTTCCCGGATACCAAGGCTCCCTTTGCAGCTTCGTTGTCCAAGTAGATCACTACAAGGCAACGGGTAAGTCGGTTCATCCACAGCTTTAAGGCGGCCCAGATGGCCAGCAACTCAACCTCGCAGATTGGGTGGCTCGAGGTTTCCTTAAGTCTGTTCAAAGCGTCAAACGGAAGGCTGGCTGCAAAGAAAGAAAGAGGTTTACCGAGTGGGTCGTACAAAATGCCGCCCACACCGGCTACATCTCCTTCAAGGCTTCCGTCGGTAAAAACGTAAAAGGTTTCTTTGATGTCAGGAGTGAGCTGCACAGGTGGCGACTCCAGAGCTCGATCACGCAGGTACGTGAGAGCATCACGAAGGTCACTGCTCAGCTTCCTACCCCTATCTAAACCTTTAGCCCTAAGACCTAAGACTCTCAAGGCTTGGCAGGGCCGGCGGCCGAAAAGGAAAGAGCTGAACCAGTGGAGTCTGCCTCGAAGGGCTTCAGCCTCTGACGACTCAAGCAAGCCGGAATCAAGAATGCGTGTGAGGGTCTGCCTCAATTCCTGAATGCGCTCTGGCGTGTGCTTGATGTACACGACTCCATTTCCGAATTCACTCAGATCTATGATCAGGCCAAGGGCCCGACATTGCTTGGAGAATTCGGTGGCTTTCTTCCCTTCCCTTGCGAAAGTTATTCCAAGGATGTCAAGCAGGGCCTCCGCGCATGATTCGGCACAAGGGCAATGCTCGTCCAAACTGAAAAGAGGAAAGTCGTCAAAGTAATTGCACCAAGAAAGGCCCAGCAGGGCTGAGCCGCTGTGCCACGTGGCCGCGGACGTTCTCAGAAAACCTGCCACGGATCCCGTAGTCCCGAAGGGGAGCGCTGCCGCTCCGAAGAATTTGGGTTTCCTCGAGCAAGTGTCAAGTACAAGGATTCTGAAGATTTCTCGATCTGAGGGATCGACAGCATACTGTTTGTACGCCCATTTTAAATCAATAGTTTTCCCCGATACCTGCTTCCCTTTAGCCCGTGGGTCCATCATGGCCCAAACCAGGAAGGCTGAGATGAAATCAATGTTGTGTAGCCTAAAACGTTCAGGCAATCCAACGGTCTGATTGATTCCGGCTGCCTTTCCGTCGTCTATCACTCTAGTCTTGGCACCTTGGATGATGCCGAACCTTCGGGCAACTAGGACGGACGAAAGGTCCGGAGCCGGGTCTTCAAACAGCCAGCCTTTTTGCTGTTCCTCAAGTGTTTCGGACCAAGCCTTTTCAGCAACAGCATCGACCGGCTGAGAAGAGACCCTGGCCAGCGTGGCAGCATTCCTGGCGGAGGCACATCTAAGCTGTTTGTCCAGGCTGGTCCTAGGGGGGCGAGGTTCGGTAACAAACAACCCGGTCCTAGGCATCCATCCGGTCAGCGGAAAACCCTTCCTAAGGTCGGGGACTAAGGACTGGTCTGGAAAGGACGAGTCAGCGAGCAACCGCTCGAGTAGGAAGGTTCTCTTCCCATCGATGATCTTGCTCACCAAAGGATCCAAAGATTTCCGAGCTTGTTCCTCCATGGGCTCAAGTTCCTTGGCGATCTCGTTCCACTCGGCCAGTCGCGATTTTCCCAGATCCTCGCGGGCTGCACGTCCAGTCAAAAGGTTATCTACAAGGAGCTTGGTTCGTTCATCGATCTGAGCCTCGAGTATCCTTTTGGGGTGGCCCGCCAACACTGCTTGCTGCACGAAGTCTGACGGGGTGCGGGGAATGCCTATCCAGAGTACCTCGCACAAATCTTCAAAGGTCGAGTCACTCATGAATCCACAAACTTTGCAAATGGGCTGGTCCCCTTCCTCGAGAGGGGGAGCATGTGAGTCCATACTCCATTTCCAGTTGGATCCCAAAGTGGATTCAAGCACGGCGAAATCAAGGCTAGGAAGAACGCAAGCCCGTATCTGACCCCAATGCAAAAGCTTGCGACGGACAGCACGAGCACCTTTAGGATATGCTTTCAACAAGGCGGGCGGACAGGCAGTCAAGCCCAGCGGCACAGCCCAAGCATCGTAAGCGCCGAACTCACTGACTAATGCCCGTTGCTTACGGGGCTGTTTCTCATAAGCCAGCCGTGTGACGGAGCTGGCTGGCCCCAACAAAGATGGGGCCGTAGGAATTCCGCAGACCTGAGAAGCAACTAGCTCGGCGACCCTAGCGCACAAGAGAGGTGGATAGGCACCTTTGGTTCCTGCATCGGATGCTGCATTTGAGGGCGCATGCGAATGCTGGCGGTTACACGAAAGCCCCAAGGGCTTGAACCATGGAGCCGAGCAAAGCCATCGAAGCTTGCGATCTCGATCACCACCATGCATGCACTCGTGAAAATCTACGACATGATTATCGGCACCTGTCCGACGCTCCCGGGGTCTGGGACGTGGCAGCGTCACCAGGTGCGCAAGCTTCGACAGCAGGAGTGGGACAACCTCCGCGGCCCACCGCCAACACAGTCGGGGACAGTCCAAACCGGCGGCAGAGTTGCGAGTCCCCAATGGTGCTCCCGCCTCCTTCGCCATCACAAGCGTCCACAAAGGCCTGCCAAGACCCTGGACAGCGCATGTGTTGCGGCAAAATGCCAACTTCCGTATGAAGTCGGCCTGGCTCCTTAGCAAAGACAGAGAACCCTCCCTACGCATCCGTGGAAGGCTCTGTGACAAAGATGACACCAACGGATTCACGCGAGCGCCGACAGCAAGGGCTGCCTTGGGCAGGCACGGTGGGCGCAAAGAACCATACTGTATCGTCCAGGGGCATTCCAACACTAGAGAAGGCCTGATCCTGCGTATCCAGGCACAGATCCTGCAAGTCAGCAACCTCGAACAGCGCAGTCGGGGCGCATCGTGGTCCGATAGGATGATATGTTTGCCTGGGAGCAAGGCTTTGAGCACCCATAGCGCGTTGCCCTACCAAACCACCGCTCTACGCAAGCCTGTTTCTTGTCGTAGCGGGAAGAAGACACAGGCGTGCCGTTCATCATGCCGACCAGTCCAGCAGCATCGGTTTTGAATATGAGGCATGTGTGGTCGGTGGTCAGTACAGAGCCACACAGCGTATCGAGCGAGCGAACCCAGGTTAACCGGCACGGCTGGTTCGTACTCGCAAGGGACTGCTGGGATTTGGGCGAAGGGGAGCAGGGCCTCGCTGATCGGCAGCTCCTGGAAGCCATAGATCGAGCTTGCGGCGTCGCTGCTCTCCTCAATCGGAGCACGTCGCGTCCCTTCTGACCGAACACTCAGTCGGCTGACCAGAAGGCCCACAAAGCTGCGCCCTACCCTGCGATCGTGCGAACAAACAATCACCGGTCAGCTGCCACATCGTGCCATAAAGTCGAAGGCCTCCCGCAATGGAAAAACGAGTGTCGTCCGTTTGCAGCGGGTCACCTTGCTTGCATGCAGCCGGATGTTCAGTGAAGTCGGACGCGTCCACGAAGCCTTGGTGCAGGTATCCACACATTTGAAGAGCTCCATCCCCGAGATCGCATGCTGAATGGAAGCGAAAGCCAGAGAGATGAGCCGATGGATTTCTGTCTGGCAATGCGAAAGTGCTTGCGTCGTGTTGGCTGCCAGCATCGACATACGTCGATGCACATTTTGTGATCTCTGGGCGTCTCTCGCCTGCTTGGCTCCATGGCGAGTGCGTGGAGTGAGATGCCTGCCAACCTGGCTATGACATGTTCCAGATTACCTCATCTAGTGACATCGCCGACAAGTCGAATGCTGGTCCAGGCGCTTCCACACCAAAGACAAGGCAGAGGCCGCCATCGCGGTAGCAGAGCGGAAGGAGAAGGAGAGCGGCTGCGAGACACAAAGTGAGAGAAGTGACGTATGTCGCCGCAGGTAAGCACACAAGATGAGAGCAATGAGCAGCAAACCGAGCAAGAAGTGGGCTTTTTGCTAGAGAGGGAAAACAGCCAGAACTCTGGGTCACGGTGGCGAACCACTGATCCCAATTAAAAAAAAAACTCCGATTAGGCGGATGGCGTGCCGTCCGACACTCGGCTCTTAGCCGTGCCACATGGCTTCGTTCTATCGAGCGGCAGAGTTTCAGCTCACCCCGAGCGACACCGACATGATTCTCATGGCGGCGGTGGGCATGCGAGCCAATCTGGTTGTGATCGAACAACACCATAACTGGCAGAAGGTGGGATACAAGACTGTGAAGGTGTAGTTTAAGCACGTTGCCAGCGTGGTGGAGCAAATTGCTCCCAACCCTTAACCCTCCTGGCAATGCGAAAGTTCTTGCGTCGTATTGGCTGCCAGCATCGACATACGTCGATGCACATTTTGTGATCTCTGGGCGTCTCTCGCCTGCTTGGCTCCATGGCGCGTGGAGTGAGATGCCTGCCAACCTGGCTATGACATGTTCCAGATTACCTCATCTAGTGACATCGCCGACAAGTCGAATGCTGGTCCAGGCGCTTCCATACCAAGGCAAGGCAGAGGCCGCCATCGGTAGCAGAGCGGAAGGAGAGCGGTCGCAAGACACAAAGTGAGAGAAGTGACGTATGTCGCCGCAGGCAAGCACACAAGATGAGAGCAATGAGTAGCAAACCGAGCAAGAAGTGGGCTTTTTGCTGGAGAGAGAAAACAGCCAGAACTCTGGGTCACGGTGGCGAACCACTGAGCCCAATTGGAAAAAAAACGGCTAGGATTAAGGGTTAGGAGGCCTGCAGGACCACTCAAACACAAGAAATGCGCATGAAGAATGGAATTTGTGGTGCAGGAGGCATTGGAGAGTGATTTGCGGGGGGCGAAAAAGATGAGGGGTGCATGTGCAAAAAAATTGTAGGTAGTCGACTGTGGAGGGCCGACCTGGCGAAGCCAGAATTGCTTGTGTTTTGCGGGCCTTAAAATGGGGTCGCCCGACAGCCTCATAACTGTGCAGATCGTACAAAGACAGGGAAATTGTTGCAGAAGTGACTCTGCATTTCTGAACAGAGCAGATCAAGCTATGCAGAGTTATAGTATCGAGAAGGTCGGCCGGAACAGATCATACAAGAGCGGCGGAATTTTCTGGAAGGTATCTCCACCAGATCAAAACAGGACTTCTGGAGTTGTGCAGAGTTGTGGTATCGAGAGGTGTGGCTGACGGTTCGGAATTTGTGCACGGTGCTTAACTCCAAAACTCCCTCATGCACGACATGGGCTCACCTGGCTCTCGCCAGATTTTTTTTGCTCTTTTAGCAGAGACCCATTTGCAAATTTCTTGCCTCTGCCTTGCATTTGCTGCCAGACCGGTTGTTGCGTTCCCTCAAAAAGAACAGTTCGAACTGCACTTTTCGCTGTCGGAGGTTGCACCTCTACTTCAATTTCCCTTTTTGCTCTTTGAGTCAGTTCCATCGTGTAATCGGAGTCTTTTATTGCTTCATGGTTGCGTGTCTCTTTGCGCAGGAGGTGCATTCGGCTGTCACAAACCACAGGCGTTGCTCAGCAATTCCGCATCCCCGCGCAACACAGACCGTTCTCCCCCCCCGCACACAGGCCCGTGGTGGTTTCTGAATTTCTGGAAACATGTGGACGAGCAGGATTCTTCCAGACGCTGTTTGTGTCAACTGGCATTTGATTTTTGCTGTTTTTCAGTCTGCCTCAAACTGTTAGAAGTGCTTTTTGAGTCAGATTACTGACCACACTCGTTTTGTCTCGTTTCCTTCCGTATGCTGTCAGCTCAAGAAAAAAATCGAGTGCTGCACACTCTGTTTTTTTGGTAGCGGACTTCTGAGGGCTGTCAAGCGCCGCGGCCTCACCCGTACAAGATTGGAGTTGAAGGTTCTCCCAGAAGGTACCTGTGCCTGAGAAAGACATGGACTTTGACTTGTTTAGACCAGATCCTGCTTGTCCTATGAGTCCGCCTGCAGCTCAAAGGTGGAAGTGTTCTTGCTGCTGTGTCTGGAACGCCTGTTCGGCCACCAGTGCCGCCGACGTCCACTTTGGGTGCGGACCAACTGCAGCACACGCGGCTCCAAATGTGGGGTCGAACAATCCAAGCAATTTTGGCTTCGCTTGAGTGGCCCCCCTCTGTTCTCTCATGTTTATCACTTCCACCGGCAAGCTGTCTGTTGGAAATTCTTGTTCTTGGAGAATGATTTTTCCACACTGGATGCCTGCCTGTGGGCGGGTCGCCTTGATGTAGCAGTTTGGAACGTACGGGCTTGGGTTTGGGCCCCAGAATAGGAATTCGTGACCCCAAAATAGGGGCCGCCAAGCGGCCCCGATTTTGGGGTCCTCTAGTTGCCAGTCAAAATATGTTAAAGGAGGTTGGCTGCATTTCGCGGCGGGTCGCAAGTTTGATTCCTGCACCCACACCGGCTGAATCTCGTCAGCTGCGCATGTCATTGATTGTATTGACTTTGGGGAGCGTCTGGTGGAGGACCGTTTGGAAGGTCGGAACTTGTCCAAAGCAGCTTTGTGCTCGCCCTTAAAAGTGCTGCAGCCAGCGGAATGCAACTGTGGAGGGCCGACCTGGCGAAGCCAGAATTGCTTGTGTTTTGCGGGCCTTAAAATGGGGTCGCCCGACAGCCTCATAACTGTGCAGCTTTGAGATCGTACAAAGACAGGGAAATTGTTGCAGAGGTGACTCTGCATTTCTGAACAGAGCAGATCAAGCCATGCAGAGTTATGGTATCGAGAAGGTCGGCCGGAACAGATCATACAAGAGCGGCGGAATTTTCTGGAAGGTATCTCCACCAGATCTGAACAGGACTTCTTGAGCTGTGCAGAGTTATGGTATCGAGAGGTGTGGCTGACGGTTCGGAATTTGTGCACGGTGCTTAACTCCAAAACCCCCTCATGCACGACATGGGCTCACCTGGCTCTCGCCAGATTTTTTTTGCTCTTTTAGCAGAGACCCATTTGCAAATTTCTTGCCTCTGCCTTGCATTTGCTGCCAGACCGGTTGTTGCGTTCCCTCAAAAAGAACAGTTCGAACTGCACTTTTCGCTGTCGGAGGTTGCACCTCTACTTCAATTTCCCTTTTTGCTCTTTGAGTCAGTTCCATCGTGTAATCGGAGTCTTTTATTGCTTCATGGTTGCGTGTCTCTTGGCGCAGGAGGTGCATTCGGCTGTCACAAACCACAGGCGTTGCTCAGCAATTCCGCATCCCCGCGCAACACAGGCCCGTCCTCCCCCCCCGCACACAGGCCCGTGGTGGTTTCTGAATTTCTGGAAACATGTGGACGAGCAGGATTCTTCCAGACGCTGTTTGTGTCAACTG